CCCTCCCATCCAGCCTCACTCAGGATCGCCGAACCTCACCCCCCCCCCGTCCCGTCCCTGTCTCTATAGGTACCGTGTATATATGTACAGGGGGGAGGAGCAGGGGGCGTGGCTTTTTATATGCAGTGGGAGGGGGCGCGCCCCGCCCCCCCCGCCCCCTATAGCGCCCTGCGGGGCCGCGGGAGCCCCTCCGGAGGGGCCCTTGGACTGTTCGGGGGCTCGGCGGGGGCTCCTATGCCCCCTTGGCGGGTTCCTGTGGCCCCCTTGGCGGGTCCCTGTGGCCCCCGGGGGGTCTGTGGGTCTCTATAGGGTGGGGGAGTTCCCTATAGCCCATACGGGGGCCCGGGAGGGGGGAGTGGGGTGCGCGGAGCCCCTCTGGCCCCGGGGGGGGTCACGGATTCTACGGGGGGTCGCTCCCCCGGCATCACGGGGGGGGAGGGGAAGGGGCGGGGCCGCGGCGTTTCGGCTGTAACGGGACCGACCATTAAAGCCTCCCCGGGACCGGTGTGACCCTGTGTGAGCCCCCCCCGGGACCCCTCGTGCGAACCCCTCCGAGCCCTCCCAGCCCCTCCCGGGACCCTCTGTGACCCCCCGAGAGCCCTCGGGTGCGCTCCTCCCTCCCAGCGCCCCCGGGACCCCCCGGACCCCCATCGGGACCCACCGGGATCGCCCCGACCCCGCGCACCACGAGGGCCCCAGATCCCCCCGGCCCGGGCGGTACCACGCGCTCCTTTACCCTCCCCAACCCCCCCCCCCCCCCAATGGTCCGTTCCGCGCGAGGGGGGCGGGTCCCAGCGGGCGGCCAATCGCGTGGCGGCGCGGCCGTGACGCGCGGCGGGGGCGGGGCCGGTTGATAACCCGGGGCGGGGCGGGCGCGGCCTCATTCCGGGCCCGGCCGGCGCCGCGCGGGTGAGTGGCCGCCGCTCCTGTCGGGGCTCTGTCCCCCCGTTCCCCCTGTCGCGATAGTCGCGGCTCCCGCCGCTCCGCGCAGGCGCTGCCGCCGGGGGCGCTTCCCCCCTCCCCGCTCTCCCCCCGCCGCCTTCGGGGGCCGCGCGGGCTTCGCGCGTGCGCGGGGGGGCGGGGCCAGCGCGCGCGCGGGGAGCGGGAGCGGCGCTTCCGGGGGATGCCCACGTGGCCGGGGGGGACCCACGTGGGGCTGGGCTGACGTCGGGGGGGAGCCGGGGAGTTCCCGTGACGTCACTGGGAGGGAAGGTGTGGAGCTGCGAGGGGTTTGCCCCAAGGCGGTGGCGTCACGGGGGTTTCTCTAGGACTGGGGTCTCCTGGAGAGCTGTGACGTCACTGGAGGCCACGTGGGGCGTCCCACCAGAGTACTGACGTCACAGGGGCCCAGGGGAGTGCATTCTGCGAGCCGTGACGTCACTGAACCCTGCGTGGGGCAGAGGGATTCCCTCTGGGCTGTGACGTCATCAGGCTTCAGGCGGGGTGGAGGTCACTGTGAGGGTTGTGACATCAGGGGGGATCCTGGGGGGTTCCCTGCCAGGGCTGTGATGTCATAGCAGACCCGGGGGTGTGGGGGCAGGGTTATGACATCATAACTCCTCTCTCCTGCCCAGGTTGTAGTGTCGCTGGAGGGGCAGGGCCCCACCCTATGACATCGCTCCCGGCCCCGCCCCCCACGCATGGCGGCGGAGGAGGGGAAGCTCTTTGTGGGGGGCCTCAACTACGACACGGACGAGCAGGGGCTGGAGCAGCACTTCAGCTCCTTCGGGCCCATCGCCGAGGGTGAGGCACTCCGAGACCCCCCCGGAACCCCCAACACCCCTCAACCCTCCCCTGGGGACCCCCAAACCCCCTTGGGAGCCCCAGATCCCTCCTGGGACCCCCAGATATTGCAGACACCCCAACTCCTCCCCAGCACCCCCACCTCTTGCTCCCCAAAGCCCCTGAGATCTCCCAAACTTCCCTCTAGGACCATTTCCTCCCTCAAACCCTTCTGAGAACCATCAGATCCCCTACCAGAGCCCCAGAATCCCCTTGGGTCCCCCTGCTCTTCCCTGGAGACCCCCAGATCTCTCCAGGAGTCCCCAGAGTGTTGAAAACTGCTTGGGGAGGGAGGACACGTTGGAAGGGCCGACTGCCCCATGTAGGCCTTGGGTTTGGGGTGACACCCAAGAGTGGGGGCCCTATTTTTGGGTGTAACCTATAGAATGGGGTTTGGGGGGTTCCCTCTGCTTTTGGGACCCCCGATTTTCATTGCTGGGGGTCACCGTGTCCCTTTGGACCCCGGTTTTGGGTCTTAACGCACAGGATTGGGTTTGGGGGTGGGGGTCCCTTCCTCCCGTGCGACCCCATTTCAGGGGGTCTCAGCCCTGCCTGACTCTCCCCATTCCCCCTCAGTGGTGGTTTGGGGGGGTCCCTGATGCCCCTGACCCCCTGTTCCCCCTCAGTGGTGGTTTGGGGGGGTCCCTGATCCCCCTGACCCCCTGTTCCCCCTCAGTGGTGGTTTGGGGGGTCCCTGATGCCCCTGACCCCCTGTTCCCCCTCAGTGGTGGTGGTGAAGGACCGGGAGACCCAACGTTCCCGTGGCTTTGGCTTCGTCACCTTCACCAACCCCGAGCACGCGAGTGACGCCATGAGGGCCATGAACGGCGAGGTGGGCGGGGGGCACGGGGGGCACGGGGGGCACGGGGGGCCTGAGGAGCCCTGCACGACATTTAGGGTCGCTCAGGAGGTCTGGGACACTCAGAGGTTTCAGAAGGAGTCTGGAGGGAGACCCCAAAGAGGTTGTGGGCCCTCAAGGGTCTGGAGTCCCTTGTGGGTGGCTGGGGGAATGTGGGAGACCCTCAGGGGAGCCCGGGGGATCTCTGAGCAGGTTTGGGCCATTTTTCATGGGGTCTGGGGGCCCCTGGGAGGGTCTGGGGGGTTTCTAAGGGTGTGGGGGTGCACTTGAGGGTCCCTGAGTGCCCCTGGCGGGGGATCCCCAGGGGTTCTGGGGGGCACTTGGGGATCCCCGGGAGGTCATTGGGGGTCTCTAAGGGGCACTGGGTAGAAGTTGAGGAGCCCTAAACGGGTGTGGGGCTGGGGGCTCCCAGGAGGGGCCGGGGTGACCCCAGCCTGGCGTGTCCCCAGTGCCTGGACGGGCGGCAGATCCGGGTGGATCACGCCGGGAAATCGCCCCGCGGTGCCCGAGGGGGCTACGGGGGGGGCCGGGCCCGGGGCCGAGGATACGGTCGAGGTACGTTTTTGGGGTACCTGGGGGGGGCTTATAGGGGTTTAAGGGGCTCTTTGGGGGGTTTATGGGATGTGGGTTGGGGTACTTTGGAGGGCTTTTGGGGGATTTGAGTGGTTTGGGGGGGGACAGGGGGGTTAAGGGGGTGTTTGGGGGGGGTTAATGGGGAACCTGGGGCCATTTGGGGAGGGTACTTGGCAGGGTGAAGGGTTTTTGAGTGGTTTGGGAGGGGGGATTGGGGGGATGTGTGGTGGGAGGGGGTTTGGGAGGTGCTGAGGGGGCTTTTGGAGGAGTAATTTGGTGTCTGGTGGTTTCAGAGAGGACTTGGGGATTTTGCTCGGCTTTGAGGGGGCACCTGGGGGGTCTTTGGAGGGGAGGGGGCTGGAGGAGATTTGGGGGTGACCTGGGGGGGTACACGGGGGATCTTGGGGGGGCTTTTGGGGGGAGAGCTGGAGGACACAGTGGGGCACTGGGGTCCCAGATGGATCTTGGGGGGGGCACCCTTGGGGTTTGGGGGGGACACCCCTGGGGCTTGGGGGGGGCACCCCTGGGGTTTGAGGGGCACCCCTGGAGTTTGAGGGGCACCCCTGGAGTTTGGGGGGGGGCAGCCCTGGGGTTTGGGGTTGCACCCCTGGGGTTTGGGGTTGCACCCCTGGGGTTTGGGGGGGCACCCCTGGGGTTTGGGGGAGGCCCTGTGGGTGCTGGGAGGGTGGTGGTAGAGCTGGGGGGGTCTTTTGGGTGCTGGAGAATCCTGGGGGAAGCTCTGGGGCTGCTTGGGGGGGTGGGAGGGGGGCTCCTGGTTGCTGGGAGGGGCACCCATGGGTGCTGATCCCCCCCCGATGTCCCCCAGGAACCAGGGGGGCTACGGCGAGCGCTTCCCCTCGGCCTCGTACCGGGACAACTATGACAACTGAGGTAGGGGCACGGCGGGGGGGGTGGGGGTGGCACCCCCCAACAGGGATTGGGGACACCCTGGGGAACCCCCCTGCACCCCCTGCACACAGCTGGGGACCCTCGGAAACCCTCCAGCCCCACACCCTCCCCCCAAACCCCCCATTTTTGGAAGGGGGTTCGTGGTTTTCTGATGCGTCCCCCCCCCCCAAACTGTTTTTGGGGGATCCTTGAGCTCCCCAAAGTTCAATTTTGTGGAGTTTGGAAGGGGTTCATGCCTCTCCCAAATAATTTTGGGATCCTCCTCCATGTCGCCAATTTTGAGGGGGTTGGTGGTCCCTGAACCTGCTCAAACTCCCATTTTGGAGGGACTGTGGTGCACTCTGACACCCCCTCAGTCATTTTGGGGTGGTTTTGGGGTTCTCTCCTTTTATGCCCCCAATTTTTTAGGAGGAGTGACAGTCCCTGAATCCCCAAAACCATCCATTTTGGGGGGCTGTGCTGGTCTCTGACTCCTCCACAAATTATTCTGGGTAGTCCCTGACCTCTCCAAACCCTTGTTTTTGGGGGGCGGCGGCTGCAGAGTTCTCTGACCCTCCCAAATTATTTGGAGGATAGTTTCGGGTTCCTCCTGTGCCCCCAAACCCCCATTTTTGGGGGCTCTTTGAGTGCCCCTTCCCCACTGATTTCCTTCTCATCCTCAGCTTGGACCCTCGGTGCTGGATTTCAGGGGGGGCCCCTCCTCCCCCGGGCCATGGATGGACGCCGAGGGGGGAGTGGGACATGGTGGGGGGGGTGTGAAGGTGGGGAGAACCCTCAATTTGTACTCCCCCGTGCCCTATTAAAGGTCAGACCCTCTCCGAGTCACGTCTCTTGTCTGGTCCTCTCTGGGTGGTCCCTGCTCCATGGGGGTCTCCGGGGGCTGCAGGATCCCTGTGGAGTGACCTCACTCCAAGGGGGATATCTCGGGGTGACCCCATTCCAAAAGGGATCTCAGGGGCCTTCAGTCCCTGTGGGGTGACCCTGCTCCACTCTGGGGTGACCCCTCTCAGAGGGGGGGGGTCTTGAGGGGCTCCAGTTCCTGTGGGGTCTCCAGGGGGGTCTTGGGGCACTTTGCTCTCGCTGACCCACCCTGGGCAGTTTTGCAGCGAGGCCTCTCCAGCTCCCAGCGTTTCAGCCTCGGTCCCCTCGGTGTCAGGGCAGCCCCACCTGCCCCCTGAACCCTCCTGGAACGTGGCACAGCCGGGGATGGCAACTCGGGCACCGCCCTGGCAGGAGCAGCGGGACCAGAGGAACCAGCCCACAGCATCCCAGTGCCCCCAGTTTCAGGGAAACTCACCCTTTTTCCACCTTTTTCGGGGTTTAAATCGAGGGAAGAGCCTCTTTATGCATCATTCTAAGAGTCTAAATCCTTTTTCTGTTTTGAGGATTAAATAGAAGGAAAACCACACTTTGCTTTATATCGAGGGGGAAAAGGGTGGGAAACATGAGCCACTTGGGGAGAGCCCCAGAGGTGCCCCCACAAATCCAGAGGAACCTGATGGTGTTCGGGAGTCAGGAGGGACTTAAGGAGATGTGGATGATGGGGATGAGAGAGGGTGGAGGGAATTTGGGAGAGTTGCATGGGGGCACAGGGTCTCAGGAGGGAACAAGGGAAAGGGGGGGTTTTGGGGTGTCTCCAATTTGGACGAAGATTCCTCCCAGACTAAAGGTGCCAGGACAGAAAGCTCTTGCTGTCTGTGTTGTGCCAAGAGTGGTGCCCAACTGCACTGGAGAGCAGGAGGGTTTTCTTTCCTGGGTGGAAGGGCAACTGTTTGCTTGCAGGAGCCCTGACTGGAATTGGCCAGTCCGACTGCCAAAACTGAACATGAACGAAGATTCCTCCCAGACAAAGGGTGCCAGGACACAAAGCTCTTGCTGCCCACCAAGTGCCAAGAGTGGCCCAGACACTGCACACGAGAGTGGAGGATAAGGGCTTCCTTTCCCTGGGTAAAGGGCTGTCGTTCCCTTGCAGGAGCCCTGCACTGAAATTGCAACTCCAGCTCCCAAAATTGAACACAGACGAAGATTCCTCCCAGAGAAAAGGTGCCAGGAGAGAAAGCTCTTGCTGTCCATGTAGTGCCAAGAGTGGCCCACATGAGAGACTGTTGTTAAGGGCTTTCTTTCCTGGGTGGAAGGACTGTTGTTTGCTTGCAGGAGCCCTGTGCTGCAATGGGTGCCCGACTGCCAGAATTGAACACGGACAAAGATTCCTCCCAGACAAAAGATGCCAGGACAGAAAGTTCTTCCTGTCCACAGAGTGCCAAGAGTGGCCCACCAGCTGCACATGAGAGACTGTGAGTAAGGGCTTGCTTTCTCCTCCCAGACTGTTCCACAGAGGGATCACTGTAGCTGCCTAGGTGCAGATGCCCGGCATCATTTCTGTGTCCCCAGCACTGAGGTGTCTCCATGGGGATTCAAGGCAGCACAGAGATACTATAGGGCGTCCCTGCCCTTCTGGAGGACACCCTGCAGCCCTGCAGGACACCCAGGGAAACAGCTGAATGTCCTGAAGCTGACTGGAGGGCACTTGGGCACTTGGCTCCCACAGACACATCCCCACAGCTCGACCCAAAGGGTCCCTTTTCTGGACAGGAACCTGCCACCCCCAACCTCCCACATCAGCTTAGAAAATCCAGTGGTGTGAACAAGGAGAGCCCAGGCAGCAGGGGATGGCAGTGAAATGCCACAGTGCTGCTGCCAAGGGAGGAGGGACACACAGAGACAGCTGGAAATCAGGGCCTTGTCCTTGCCTGGGCTCTGGCTGCTGCAGGGCAATGCACAGCCCAGCCCCCGTGGGCCTGAGGGCACAGGCTCTGCTTGGGCTGGGAAAGGAGCCCAGGGAGGAGCTGCTCAGGGAAGGGGTCTGTGCCACAGGGACAGCAGGGAGGGGCCCACATCCCCCTGCCCAGCACTTGTGGCAGTAGCTGCCTGTCCCTGCCTGCCTGTCTCTGGGTGAGGAGCTGTTCCTGCCAGCAGCCCCTCCCTGTGCCCAGCTCAGCTCCCTGCCAGTGCTGCCAGAGCCATCCCCAGCCCAGTGCCCAGGGGCAGCTCTGCCTGGGCAGGGGCTGCAGAGCAGGGGGAGGTGTTCTGGGGGGATGTGCTTCCTGAGAAGGGCCCCTGGAAATGGCAGGAGGTGGAGCTGAAGCCATGAGAAGCCCCGACCCTGCAGCTGAAGGGCCCTGTCCTGCTCATCCCTGACCTACCCTGAAGGGTCTTTCCTTCCCCCCACCCCTTCTCCCTGCAGGGCCGTGGCAGCTCCTTGGCCGGGCTGAGAGCTGGAGCTGGCACGTGGCAGAGTCCCTGCCCCAGCACACAGAGCCCTGGGGGCAGGACCCTGCTCTGCCCCACAGCCCTGGGCACCCCTGGCTGCACCCCCAGCTTCACACCCTGCACCAGCCCTGGCAGGAGGGAGCTGTCCTGCCCTGTGCCTCTGGTGGTGCAGGAGGGAAATCCTGCTCTGGAGCAGCTTCTCCTGCTCCACCCCAGGAAATCCAGGAGAGCCCATCCTGAAAGGTCCTGTCAGTGGTGGCATTTGGCAGGTGTAAGAGGCACTTCCAAGGGACTCATCTGCACTGCTCTGGAGCCAGAGCCTGACCATGTCAAAGGGCTGGGAAGATTCCTCCCCTGATGAGGTCTCACCTCCCCCAGGATACCTTTAACCTCTTTCTCACTCCTCCTGTCTGCCCTTGCTGCCTGCAGGTCCTGCCCTGCTCTGCCACATGGCCACCTCCTCTCCACCAGAGGAACTGTGAGAGTCCTTCTGAAAGATCCTAGAAGCTGTGAGATGTGCCAGATTTAGGAGATCCCTTCAGAAATGGAAGTTTAACTTTCCTGCAGCCAGAGAATTATTCATTCAAATCCTGTGAAGATTTGTCCTGGAGTGAGAGCTCAGTCCCCCTCACACCCCAGGCTGCCTGTAACCTCTCTGTCCCTTCCCTGCCCTGCCCTGGGTGCTGCAGGCAGTGCCCTCAGCCCTGCTGGGCTGTGCAGAGGAGCTGCTCCTGGGCAGAGCTGTCTCTCTGCAGCCCTGCCCACTTGCCAGGAGCTCCCTGTGTGCCAGGAGCCCGGCCCAGCTGAGCAGCAGAGGAGCAGCCCCAGGCAGCCCTTTCTCTGCCCCTCTGGGCTCCCTCCACGTGTCCCTGGGGCTCCAGGGGAACCTGCTGGGACACAGCTGAAGGAAACAATGATGTTCCCTCTCTCAGCTGGGCACAGACACTTCTTTCACCACTGTCAGTTCTCCAAAGACTCTGAGTTAAGTCCAAGATTCACCTTTTTGTGTCCCATCATTAGACAGGAAACCCAGACAGTGCCCAGGAGGGATCTCCTTCTCCTCCACCAAGGGAAGAGACTCAGCTGAGTGAATGGAGGCATCTCATTCTGAGTTTATAGACCTGGGGCTAAAAGGACACTCAGCTCCCACCACAACCCCCATGGGGTGGGATTCCCATTGCCCCAGTTCAGGTGTGCACAAAACAGGACCCTCCAGGTGACTTCTGTCTCGGCTCCCATGGGAATTAATGAAGACAAAAGCTCACAACACTTGGTTACAAGTGCTGGACACAAACACTTGGTTACTTTTGAGGTGCCAGAGGTGACCAAGATTCCTGCTGGGAACTGCAGGCTCCAATGGAGACAAGGAACCATCTGAGGGCATCTTCTTTGGGGCTGCTGGGACATTGCTTTGCCCAATTTAAAGGGCAGAAGGTGCCCACATGTAGGACAGGTGAACCTGTAACTGCTCCTTATGTCCATGGCAGCCCACAGAGGTGTCCAGCTGACCAATGCAATCACAGGAAAACACAAGTCTCTCCCTTTCTCTTCTCTATCAGTGGTATTATGTCCTTAGAGCACAACGGCAGCAGTCTCATGGGCATCCCTTCATTGCTGAACCTAATTCAGGGCAGCCAAATCTGAATTTAATATCCAAAGAGAGACCTGTAGTGCCAGGGGAGGTGCCAGGGGAGGTGCCAGGACTCTCCAGCACAATTCCAGCACCTGCCATGGACGGCACAGGTCCTGTACAGGAACCCTGTCCCCACTCAGACCAGTTGTGTGACAGGCACCACCCAGGACCCCCGGTGCCTTTGGACCAGTGACTGAATCCCAGCACTGCAAGGACACAAGGTCTGGCCCTTCTCTATCCCGTGGATGTTGGGCTGTTCATGAATACAAAGCAGGTTCCAGCAAGGTTTCCACTTCTGTACAATCCCTTTTCTTGTGGTTTAACCCCAATGAGCAAATAAGCACCACGTAACTTCTCACTCAGTTCCCCGACCTCCCACTGCCTCTCCCGGGCAACCTCCCTTCCTTTATACACTGGGGATGGTGTCCTGTGGTGTGGAATATCCCTTTGGACAGTTGGAATGTCCTGGCCATGCTCCCTCCCAGCTCCCTGGCACGTGCTCGCTGGCAGAGCATGAGACACTGAAAAGCCCAGCAAAGCCATGGGGGTGTGATCAACACTGTTCTCACACTGAATCCAAACCACAGCTCTGTGCCAGCTACTAGGGAGAAAATTACCTGTCTCTCAGCCAAGACCAGGACAGTATCCAGCCCTTATTCCATACCATTTACATCATGCCATATCCCACACTTTCCAGTACATTCCACCATCACCTTTCCTGTCTTTTGATATAAACCCACAGATCTCATTGCTCAGTCTGTGAACCACGTCTATGAAAGTCCATTGAGTTCATTTAGCCCATGACTTTGGGGTCCATCTCTCATAATACTTTTTCAGAGCAGGAAAAATGGTGTCTGGTGTTGGATTGTTTCCTTTGGAAGCTGGTTCTTGTTCCATCACCGTTGTGCTGGTCTCATCGCTGTGTGTGGCCTCATCAAAGTTCACTGTTCATTAATCTCAATGATTTTCACTGTAATAACCCTGACAGGGCAAACAGTCACCACAGAAGTGGTAATACACAGTGTCAGACAGTTATTAACATAATACAATTTTAATCATTGGCTATTCTCACCCCAAATCAAATCGAGGCACACACTGGACTTCCCATCTTCCCCCATTACCCACCAAGTGCAAGTGGGTCCCTGAGAAAAAGCAACCCATGGATGGGTTTGCCTTTGCCTGAGGCAGGAATAACCCAGACTGTTTTCCCAGCATGTTTTTAATGTGCACTTCAGGATCTTCATCCCCTTCTACAGTAGGTAAAAATTTGGATTGGACAGGGCCAGCCTGACTGGCAGATCCTCTGGTGCTGACTGACCAGGTGGCCTTTGCTAAATGTCCATCCAATGTTTCCAGGTCCCCCCACCCATCGCTCTCAGTGTCCTCTTTACCAGCCCATTGCATTGTTTGATCTTCCCAGAGGCTGGTGCATGACAGGGGATGTGATTCACCCACTCAGTGCCAGGTTCTCTGGCCCAAGTCTCTGTGAGGTTGTTCCTCAAACGAGTCTCACTCCATTCTTTCTGGAGCACCATGTTGCTTCTCCAGGCCCAGGGCAGTGTTCTGGGTGCTGCCCTGGCACACAGGGGACATTTCCAGCCAGCCAGGGGTTGCTTCCAGCATTGTAAGCACAGGCTGCTTGTCGTGGTGGGTTGGGGGCAGTGTGATATTGTCACATATTTCAGCCATTGCCCTCCACAGCACAGAGGCTTTGCCCACTTGGCTTGTGGAACTGCAGCACGTGTGACATTCGTGGATAATCTGGGAGATATTGTCCATGGTTACATCCACCCCTCGATCATGAACCTGCCCATATGTTGTGTGTCTTCCTAGATATCCCAAGGTGTCATGGGCCCACCAAGACAGAAATAACTCACCCTTGTGTTGCCAATCCAAATCCACCTGAGCCACTTCAGTCCCAGCAGCCCAATCCACCTCCTGGTTGTTCTGATGTTCCTCAGTGCCCTGACTTTTGGGCACAGGAGCACCCACGAGAGACACCTTCTCAACGAGGTTCTCCACCTGGGCAGCAATATTTTGCCTCAGTGCAGCAGCCCAGGTGGGTTTTACCCCTGTGCTTCCAGTTATTCTGCTTCCACTGCTGCAAACACCCCCCAGGCTATTTGCCACCATCCCTGAGTCAGTGTAGGGATAAAGTATTGTTGTTTCTCTCCTTCAGCAATGTCCAAGGCCAGCTGGAGACCTTTCACCTCTGCAAAGAGACTCAGTTCACCTCCTCCTTCAGCAATTTCCTGGTGGAAGGGGCTCCATACAGTCACCTTCCTTCTCCAGTGCCTCCTACCAACCAGCAAGGCCTGTCAGTGAAGGAATATTGTTTCTGTGCTGCCTTTGGCTGGGGTAGGGTTAGTTTTGTTCACAGTAGCTGCTCTGGGGTTGTGTTTTGGATTTGTGCTGAAGATGGGGTTGATGATTCAGGGATGTTTCTGTTATTGCTGAGCAGCACTGGCACAGTGTGAAGCCCTTTCTCTGCTTCTCACGCTGCCACTCTGGGGAGGGGATTTGGGGTGTGTGGGAAGATGGGAGGGGGCAGAGCCAGGACAGCTGACCTCAGCTGACCAAAGGCATATTCCAGACCATATGATATCACAGTATACAAAGCATGGGAAAGAAGGAAGGAGAGGAGGATGTCCAAAGTGATGGTGCTTTTTTCCCAAGAAACTGTTAGGAATGATGGGGCCCTGCATTCCAGGAGGTGGCTGAACACCTGCCTGCCCATGGTAAGTGGTGAATGAATCCCTTGCTTTCATTTGCTTGCACACACAGCTTTTGCTTTATCTATTTAACTGTCTTTCTCTCAACTCACGAGTTTTTTCGCTTCTCCCGTTCTCTTGCCCCTCCCACGGGAAGGGAGGGAGGGAGTGGCTGGGAGCTGCTTATTTGCCAGCTGAGATTAAAGCAAAAGTCTGCACCAGCCCAGAGTTTCCCATTTGGACAGGAGGGGGGAGGCACTGGAGAAGGTGCAGAGGAAGTTTGGTACAATGGGCTGAGGAGAAGAGGAGGCTCAGGAGAGACCCCCTCACTCTCTACAACTCCCTGACAGGAGGGGGGAGCCAGGTGGGGGTTGGTCTCTTCTCACAGATAACTCTCAGCAAGACAAGAGGGGCTGGGTGTTCAGCTGTGCCAGAGGAGGTTTAGGTTGGAGATTAGGAAGAAATTATATACAGAGAGGGTGATCAGCCATTGGAATGGGCTGCCCAGGGAGGGGGTGGATTCACCATCCCTGAAGGTTTTTAAGATGAGACTGGATGTGGCATCAGTGCCATGGGCTGGGAACCACGGCGGGGTTGGATCAAGGGTTGGACTTGATGATCTCGGAGGTCCTTTCCAACCTGGCTGATTCTATGATTCTATGAGGAGTTGTGTGGAGAGACTGAGGTAACTGGGCCTCTTTAGGCTGCTGAAGGGCAGGCACAGGGCAGGCGAAAAGCCTGGAGAGGTGGTGGAGCCAAGCTCTGTGCAATGTGCAATGGGCAGGGCAGAGACCACAGCCACAGGCTTCTTCCTGGGGACTTCAGAGGGTGCCTCAAGAAAACCTGACCAGGAGGGTAATGCTACAGTGCAGCAGGAGGCCCAGACACTTTCTATGATCTCCACCTTTGGAGGTTTTCAGGTTTTAGCTCTACGAAGTCACAGCTGACCTGACCCTGCAGTTGGTGACTCCCAGCCCTTGATGGGAGCCAGGACCAGACACCTCCAGCACTCACTTTTACCACCATCTGCACATGAGCCAGGCATCAATGCAGAAAGGGAGAGGAGGCATTGGACCAGGTCCTTGAAGGTAGGGATTGGTCTGCCATGCTCCAGAGGTTCCTGGGAACACCTGAGCATTTGGCCCAGAGAAGTCCTGTGAGAGGTAAAAATAGGTGAGGCTGTAT